CTAAACGGTGTTTGCACTAGAAAAAAATTATTATAGTCTCTGTGGTAGTTAATATACCCAAAATATAATTTTAGGCCTGATACCATAGGAATGGATAGCAAATTTTTAAGTCTCCAGCAATACCTTGTTGTTATTCTGGAATACATTTATTTAATGTTGATGTTCAGGTTCTTGTGTGTATCACAATTGCTAGGAGTGCTGTGCTCCAAGATATATGATGTTCAGCACTTTTAGAAGGCCTTTGGAGGAAAAAAAAAAAAAAAAAGAAAATTAAAAATTGGTTTTGCCCAGGTTTTTTCCCTTTGGTAAGTGTGTGGGCACTTCTCTTTGTTGTTTAAATAGCTTTGAGCTTGAGATGTTGTATATGGTGACCTCACAGTTACCTTCAGCTTGTGCAGATGTTATCCTCTTGCACTGCAAATGGTTTGCAACCGTAGCAATAAGGAAATCAAATTTCAGGAACAGAAATTGCTACGCTGAAAAGCAGGAATCTGAAAATGCTACGCTGGAAAGCACCTTGAGCTGAGAGCGTTTTATGAGCTTGTGTTTCTTGTCCAACCTCTTGGCTTTGGGCTTGGAGAGCTGGGAAATGGGGCTTGACAATTTCAGCAAAACACCAGCTTTAATTTCAATTTCTGAGCCTTTCAATATGATATGAACCTTTTAGATCTCCTTTGTGGGTAAATCGTTACGGCTGTCTTGAGACTGCTGAGTGAATAGTGCCAGAAGTGCCTTAACTTTGCCATCAAGCCATCAGAACGGGACCTCAGCTTTGAAGTGATGAAACAGAAGTTGATCGAATCTTGCTCTTTTATTCTGTCTTTCCAGTTGCAAGCCAGCCAACATTGATATTTCCGAAACCGACCTCCTTCTGGCTGCTTGTTTAAGCCCTGTTTGTTAACCTTTAGTTATTATCTCTCTATCGTCTTGGTTTTGCAACAGTTTCCTGCTTCTGAATCGAATAAGGTGAGAGGGGGTTATGTGAGCCACAATTTGAGCTGTACGATGTTTAAATACGCTGTTTCAGCCAATGTGGTGGCAGGAAAAAAAAATGAGAACATTGATGGAGTAGTACGAGAAGAAAAATGAAGTCAAATTCTGCGCAGTTATTACTTTTCATCTTCTGTTCTGATGGATTAGGTAGCTTTTTCATACAATTTATATTCACTGAGGTCTCTTGAGGCCTTAGTGGATGTGATCACACACTTTATATTCACAAAAAAGGAGCGGCTGGGGCTTACGTATATGAATAACTGCATGTCCTGTATGTTGCATACAATTTTTTCAGCATATTTTTTGTTTTTCAGAGGATTTAGGTGAATATCATAATGCAGATCGCTCATGTTCTTGTTCCTTCACATCAGCACTTGTATTCTTTTATTCTTTGGATTTTTAGGGAAAAAAGACCTTTTTTTGTAAAAATAAATAAGTCCTTTGTTGCAGTCTTAGATATCTTAAAACTATTTTCCTCTAAAAGTGGTAAAATATGTATGACTAATTAAAATAAAGTGCTTTTCATCAGCTCCTAATCCCTGCCATTCAAATTTATTTAGAAATTCTTGTATAAATAAACCATGGAAGTGTGTAACTGGCCAAATATATTGGTGTCTTTCAGTCTGAAGCACTGCCAACTGCAGATTATACGGCGTAAGACTTAAGGCAGTAAAGAAATCAAGGCAAATCGTTTCCTAGGGATCAGGATCGTAGGGACAAAGATAAATAACGCTTCATATTCTAGGTTTGGGATTCTATATTGGCAAAAAATGGTAAATTACAACATGATGTGAATATCAATGTATTTAATTCTCCCATAAAACAATAACTGAAAGAATGTAGTTTAAGCTTTCTAAAATAATGAGTATCCAAGGCGTGAATGAATTTATTGAAGGTGAATAGGAGTGAGTGAAGTTGAGTTGGACTTTGCCCTGGACTGCAATCCAGCAGAATATATAAAGTTACAGCCAGTGTTTGTTCACTTTTAGAGCACAGATGTTAATGGGAAGTTTTTTCCCACTTTACCGAGCCTCTTCTCTAATGAGAAGTAACATGAAATTTAATTGTTTTGGTTCTGAAAGAGTTTAACAGAGGGAAAAAAAAAAAAAAAAGACCGACTCCTGGGTCTCCCCAAAATCTCACAGAATTGCCTCACTCAGGTTTTAAATCCCTATTTTGAAAACAAAGTTCTTAATTATCTGTCTTTAGATCTGAAAGTGATTTATATTTCCACATAAGTGCCCTTTCCAGTCCACCTGATATATTAGTTTATTCCCAAACTAAACTATCCTGTAAGGATTTTACAATAAAAATTTTATTTCCAGCGTGCCGATTTTTTTCCTGGCTGAGCTTTTCTGCAAAAGGCACTTGCCCATCTTAGGTTTGAGAGCTGCTGTTGAGTGCTGGAGTCTACATAACCACTATGGGAAAGTTTATCGTGGGCAAAAAGAGCCTGAAAATGTTTATTTTAATGCTTTATGTTTAGAAATCTGTAGGTGGAAATTCCCATGTGAAAAAAAAATTTAAAGCCTTTTGAAACTGAAAAAGAGGTGTCTTGTGTTCATTTGGTTTGGAGTACAAAATCGTATTCATATGATTTATTATTTATTTTTTTAAAATTCAGTGAATGGAGCCTCGTCAGAATGTCTAGGCATTGCTTACAGGTTTTCCCAGTACGGCTTAGCATCTGACGTAGTCACATCATTGCTTCAGCAACAACGGGCTCCTTTATCCGTGCTCACGTGTTCTGTGCGTTTCATTTTTTCCTACAGTCGGTGCTTTGTAAGGGCAGCCTAACTGGATCTGTGTGTATCCGCTCTGCTGAAAAATGCGGATATCTGAGAGGTGTAAAACGTAGGGGAACATGGCAAAGGACGAGACGAGTGCTTGAGGAGAAGCTACTGTATATGGTGACCTCTGACGTTGCTGTGGTCAACTTTCATTTCATAAAAATTCATGTTTTGTGCTTCGTTGATGGGATGTAGACACCAAAATTAGTTTAAATTTTCATAGACAATTTAATTTTGTAGTGACGCTCAACTTCTGCAGTTTAAAGCCGCTCAGACCTTTTGTTCCTCTGATTTTCATTAAATAACTGTCCTCCGAACACCCCAGCCTCTGTATTCATCTGATGGACCATCAGCATCCGAAAGGTTAGAAATTCAGCACGTTAACAGTTGGCTCCTGTCTGGAATAGCTGTTTTAGCTATTTAGCTATTATTTATTTTAGCTCTTTAGCTATTTTAGCTGTGCAAACAGGAGTTGAATGGCAGAACCAGGTCCTGTGCTACTTTTTTCTGAATTTTGCTCAGGCCAACGAGACTGGAGTCCTCTGTGTTCTATATGGGCAGAGCTGGGGGTCCAGGGGGATCGGAGAGTTTCAGCGGGGATTTGGGGCATTTGGGAGGGATGAACCAGCATGCCTGATGCCTGCCAAGGAAAACTGGGATCTCTGGGAAGTTGGGATGGGAGAGGCTGGCAGTGCTCGGAGCCATTGTTAAGAGATTATAATAATTTCTAGTAGTGCAGAAACCGCGCTTTCCTGTAAATCTGTCACGGGAAAGGTGTCAAAACTGGCTTTGGAAAGATTTGGAGTGATATTTGCCCTGTGGGGAGATTATTGCAAGGAGATTTTCCTTTTATAGCTTGTAGGTGCAGTGTTCAGAAGGATGAAGGATTCAGAATAATTTAGAGGTTCCAAGTAAATCATGGAGGTGCTTGCAATTCTGTTACGTTCTCATGACCTGAGCTAACGGCTGTCCTGGCAGAGCGGTGCGGCCGGGCTGAAAGTCACTGCCCCTGGCTGGGTCACCTTGCCCAGCTGCGCTTGTACTGGTCTGGCGATAGACTGGGCATCTCTGCTTTCCCTTCCTTCCCTCGGTAGCTCTGAAATGCTTGTCCTCTCCATTGTTTTTTGTTTCTTTGGTTTTTTACCTAGTTTTACTTTACTGTTTCTTTGCGTTTATCATTTCTTTTCTAAGCCGTCCTTACTGACTTTTTTCCCACCTTCCAGATAAGAACAGATCTTACAGTAGTAAAATCTGTTTTTTCCTCTCCTTTTTTGAGCTTTTCTTTTTCTGGTTGAGTTCTTAACTGCTTTGGAGAGCTAAACTTGTGTGTTCTGAGTGGAGCTACAATGAATATGATTGTCTCAGCTTGCTTGCAGGGATGGGTGTAAGAGGAGAATTCTTGTTCATTATAGCCCCAGTAGATCTTTTGGTCATCAAGCATGGTTTGATGAAGAATAAGAACCAGCATGGATTTTTCGTGGAGATTCTCTTTTGACACGTGGACAGCAGCTGCTGGTTACCCAGCTTCCTCATTTGGAGCACTGGAAACTGAAACTAGAATGATAGTGAGCAAAACCGGCCCTCGGTGAAAGACTGATTTTAATTAAAAAAAAACACCAAACCAAACCAAAAACCTTTCCTCTTTAAAATCACCCTTTATGCCAATTGATGGGTAATTTGGGTTGTTGTAAGTGCAGTTGCCAAAGGAACCGAGGCTCTGTCCAGGCAGGGTAAGCATGAGCGGTTTTATCTCTCCTCCCCATTTTGCATCCTCTTAACGGCTTTGAAACCACTGGTTGTTGTCAGTCAGATTTTCTAGAGAAGCAGAAGTCTCACAAAGTTCCTAATTTTTTTGAAAATTCAGGGCAACTGGGTAAAGAGTTGTATATCTTGGTAATGTTGACCTGTTGTTTGAACTTAACCCTTAATAAATTTTTCAGAATCTGCATCTCTCTGCCCATCTTTCTCACATCCTCACACACACTCTGAAAAATTAGCTCAGCTGTTTGCAGCTTAACACTGTTTTCACTACTGATTGCAGCCCCATGGGAAAAGGTGGTGGTGTTTCTCGAGGCATTTGTGGTTCCCTTGTTCGCGGTCCCAGCAGTGGGACCATAACTTTTCCATCAAAACGCCAAACAGAATTCCCTGTTTGTCTTACCTGCTGTCAGTTTGTGATTTGTTGCATTTAAAAAAAAAGAAAAAAAATCTCCTGTTTGATTTTCAGAAACGGAAAAGATCCCTGTAATGCGCGGACAGTGGTTTATTGATGGTACGTGGCAACCTCTGGAAGAGGAAGAAAGTAACCTCATAGAACAGGAGCACCTCCACCGCTTCAAAGGCCAGCAGCTGCAAGAGAGCTTTGATATGGAAGTATCAAAACCTGTTGATGGGAAGGAGGGTAAGATTGTTTAGATCATTGTTTTTGTAGTACGTTCTCTGGGCAGTTGGGGTCTGTTTTGCTTAAGTAAGAATGTGATCTGTGATGGTTTTTGGTTCGCTCTCCCATTTTTCAGTGCATGTTGATGTTGTAGAATTTCCTGCTGCAGCACATTTGATGAACACTGTAAAAATCATATTCATGGATAAACTTCTTGTTCCCATTTTGCTTCATGTTTCCTGTCTTTTAATTGTGTTTGGAATCTTGCTTCAAACTGAAATCTCTTGATGGGACAAGAAGAGTCAGTGTCCAAATGCAAAGTGGCTATTAGCTGTCTGGCCAGCATTCCTAATTATGCCCTAAAGGGAGTATCAGTTTTACAGATCACATTTCATTTTGCATTCTAGTTTTTTAGAGTAGTTTTCAGCTGTAGTAAATCTTGAGTATTCATTCTTTTACGGAAGACCTTATATTTTAATGGCTGAGGACATTCAGTTAGTGTTCTTGGGAATCTCAGACAAATGCATTTCACGTTTTTAAGAATAGCTTTCTGAAATTACTGATCTATTATTTAATAGTTGAGTTGGTTGATCAGGGTAAGTATAGCACAGCAAAAGTTCAGTATTTTTGGCTTTTACGACTCACTTCTTTGTTGGTTGTCACTTGGTGAACAATCTACAAACCATGAGCTGCAAGTGCAGAGGCCTTACAATATATTTTAGTAGGTTCTTGGTTATTTTTTATAAAACAACTTTTATTTTTAAACTCGTTAAACTACATCTTTGTACAAAGCAGAGTGTAGGAGTGGCTGTGTTTTTGCCATGAGCAAGGAGGAGTTCTGTGTGTGAACTACATGACCGCACAAGTAAAGCTTGTTAATAAATTGGAAGCAAAGCAATGTTCAGGGTACTTCTGTAATCCCTGTAAAGAAAACCAGAATATCAGTTGTTGACTTCAGGAGATTTTTCAACAGCACAGAGAGTAGTTGAGTTTCTAACTCCCCTCAAAGCTAGCGAGGACCCTGTGAATATTTTTTTTTGCTTGTTGTACCACCTTGAGTCGCAGCACTGTGCCGGTACGGCTGCCCTTTTGAAAGGCACTTTTACCTGTATGTCTGTGTGCTTCTCCTGATTTATTGTTCCAGTGTCCTGGTACAAAGCTCAGCTTTGTTAGTACAGCTGCAGCCTCGCTAGGAGTGTGGTGCTGTTTGTGGTGGGGTAGGATGCTTTTACATGCTGGATGTGCTCAGCAGCCATAGGTAGCTTAATTCCTGATGGAAGGGAGGAAGGATGGCTTCAGTTCTACTTGGATTCTCCTTATCAAGTAAGGAAGGGAGTTCTTTTTTCAGAAAAAGTCTGGTCTGTGGATCAGAAATTTTCAGATTTGAGGTAGGAGAGGATGGGGAGAGCAGTGAGAAAGATATAATCCCTGATCTTTATTAAAACAAAAGATCAGGAAAAGAAGCTCCAAATTCAGACACCAGTGCCTTTCTAAAACTAAAGTTTAAAAAAAAAAAGGCAAAACAACAACAACAAAAAAACCCCAAGCTATGTATGCAGACACTTCACATGTCAAGTCTCTGATAACTTTCAATAGATTTTCTTTTTTCGTAGTAATAGGAGAGTTGCAGGAAAATTATAGCTAACAGTAAGTGTGAAAAGTGGTTTTGTCATTATAATATGCCTCTAATACGTCTCTGATCAGCTGGCATCCGTGATTGCCATCTGCACGTGGCACTGGGAGAAGCCTTATAACTTGCATTATCGCTGCTGAAGTAAACATAATTAGTTGGAGAAGTGCTGAAATCAGTTTATAAATATCTTAAATGCTACAATTTGTTGTAATTGCATCCTGTATGAAACATATTTTGGTCCCATCAAGGTTTACAGGCAGCTGTTAAGAGTAGTGGAAGTTAGAATAGATCTGTAAGTACCATTACGAGGTGAAGTGACTATTCGTGATGCTATGACAGAGCATTGTAAATGGTTGAAAAACTAGAAATCTCCTCTAATTCCTCAGCAAAATTAAGACGATTGCTGTAGCAGTCTGTTAGTACTTAGACATAATTACTTTCTTGTATGAACATGTCAGTTTGCATCATGAATAGCGAAAAACAAACTTGTCAACAAGCATCTTGTTGGTATGCAGAAGACAAACCTATCGACTCTTGACCCCAGCCATGTTCTACACGGTGGCAGTAGGGTGAAACTTTAGGAGCAGGTTCCACTTTCCTGCTCCTGTTCTGGATAATTTTCTCTGATTCAGCCTCCTAGCTCAAGGCAACATATGATATCTCGGAAATTAGTATCCAAGACTCAATTGACAGTTTATTTGTAATTTAATATCTTTATTTTATTGGCCTCTGAAATATTTTTTGTGAAGAAAACAGAATTGCAAGCAAGTTTCCTAGGTGTTCAGCACCCTAAGCTTTTGAGCCGCCTGCTCAGTGAATTGCTGGCGATCGAATCACCTTCCATAAGCTCAGGGCAGACTCCTGTCAATGTATGGAGTCATCTGTACAGATGAGTTTGTCTTTGCAAAAAATGATTTCCCACTCCAATGATTTTATTTATTAATTCTGCTCCTGCATTGCAACATGGTAATAAGGAAATAACTAAGCTTCATCCAGGGCTTTAGTTGGTGATAGGATGTTGATGAATAAATGCCCCGTTATTAAACTCTTAGTCCAAGCAAACTTTCCTCCAAAAGTGCAGAATATTTCAAAAGGGGGGGGGGTCTCTAACCTGTGGCCTGTAAGTAACATAATGCCCGTGCTGCCTTCCAGTCTTGTTTTTCTTTACAGCACGTGAAGCTGTAAATGCTGAAGGTAACAGGAGGCATATGACAGTGTTCAGGTGAATGATTTCTCAAGTTCTGTTTTCCATGGGACAGCCTGGAGACATGGGCAGGACATCCCTCTGCTGAGCGAACTGTAGGGATATTTTTATTTTCTTCCTTACAAAGTGTTTAATTTAATGCCCTGCGAAATGAACTGCATTTATGGTGCCTGATATCGCTCACCCCTCTTGGTGTCCGACCCTCTTCAGCAGTCTGCTGACCTGTAGGTCTCAGCAGTGGCATGACTTTCTCAGGTAAGTTATTTGTGATGGCAGAACGCAGAAATGGGGCAGTTTATTTCTTAGGACTGTCCAAGCAGGTTAACGTGACCTTTAGATTTGCCATATCTAGTTCACCTGGATTTGTCTCCTGGAAGGTTATGTCCTGCAGGAGTTCACAGATGTGGTTCCCAGGTACTGTGGCCCTATCTACTGCTTGGAAAAATTAGTCAAATTTCTGAAATTTTTGACATTTCTGAATATGTTGGCATCTGTAATGCTTTTAAAAGGCCAGCTACCCTGACCAGTGGTCTCTGAAGTACAGCACACACAGGAGGTGTTGGCATGCGACAGCCGGCTCCCCGGACCAGGCGGTACGTCTTCACGTTGCGGAGGGATGCTGAGCACACAAGCCTCTCTTTTTGTTGGTGCTGCAGGGCTCTCTGCCTCCCGAGGTGCCTAAAACCAGGCCAGAGGAATGCTGCTGGTGCACGCGAATCCTGCAAGGGCACCACCCGTCTCCTCCATAGCTTGACCACACTTTATTTCACATCTCATCACCCTGGCGTCCGCTTTGCTCCTGGCCAAATTCCACATCCATTTTTCAGTTTGAGTAGTTGGTATTTTGTAGTTGATAATTTTATTGTTGATAGATACAAGAAAGGTCATTGCTATTCTGTCTTTTAAGACAGAGTAATCGATACGGCTACAGGAGGAAGCCACAGTTAGGATGAAGAATTAGGGGTTTGGCTGCATTTCGGCTGCTCTGTCGTGAAACAATGTCTGCAGCCTGGGTTTGAGTGAATGCAAATCACAAATTTGCACAAATGCAAATCTGCACGTCGGTGGGTGCAGGAAGGTGTCTTCTGTCTCGTCATTACATAAAGTAATTTTCCATCATTTTCTTGAGCAAAATGAGAGTCATCACATTGCCATTTTATAGTTGTATTGAGGAGGAAAACTTGGCATTTGCCATTCAACTCTTTGCTAAAAACAAGTCGACTCTGATTTAGAAACTGTTAGATTTAGAAACTGTTTTTCATGCACACTTAGGCAGACAGAGTTCAGGACCTATCTAAAGTAGTCCGTCAAAGGAGCAGCGTTCTCAAGAGATTTCAGTAATATCAAGGCCATTGTAAGATAAAACAAGACCATGAACTCGAATCATAGCAGATGCTTAAGGGTTCTCAGACTAGATATTTTTGGTGTTTGATCACCGTAAATGCCGTAATGCTCAGACCAAGAGCTTCTTGGTGGAGGGTCAAAGTCAGTAGTTCAGTGTTGATTTTTCCCTCTTGCTCTGCGTCCAGAGCCCACATATCCCTCGCTGTGAGTTCCTCAAGCATGGAGGAGCTGTTAGCAGGCAGGGAGGATGAAATTTAATTAGGATGAAATGAAGCTGAAAGCTTAATATATGTGATAGTAAGGTGGGAATCGATGTAGTTCATTGTATTTGCACAACAGATTGTGCAATATCCAGCCATAGAGATGCTCAAAATGCAGCTGGAAATCGCCTGAGCAACCTGATTCCACCTTGAAATTGGATCCAACTTAAAAGTTGATTCTGCGCAGGTTGGAGCAGATTAACCCCAGCAGTCTCTTTGACAGAAGTTACGCTGTATCAAGTCTATGATTCTGTGATAGATGATAAGAAATATAGAAAAAAAATCCTGTGAGTCAGAATCAGAATTAATTTTTTTAATGTGTCGATTTTAAGTTTATTTGTTTTTCTTGTGGCATTTCAGCATGTGGTTAGGTGCCACAAAAACAATAGAAGTTGCATTTGAAATAGTTGATTTGTTTTGTCTTAGATTTCAAATAAGTTTTTCTCTCTTCATGAAAAGTTTGTATGGATTTTTGTCACAGCTGGCTAAGTTAACCTTCAGATGAGAAAGTGATATTCCCAGAATCAGAGACGTGCAGATCAGGAGGGATCTCTGGAGGTGGTCTAGTCCAACCTCCCAGCTCAAAGCCATGGAGTCAATGAGAGCAAGTTCCTCAGGATATTTCCAGTGGGGTTTTGAATATCTCAAGCAATGGAAACTCCACAGCCTCTCTGGCAGCCTGTTCCAGTGCTTTACCAACCTCACAGTGAAAAACTTTTTTTTTTATACTTTTCTTGAATTTCCTATGTATATTCTTCACGAGCATTATATCTCCACAGCCAGTAAAATATTCTACCGGCTAAATTATTCCCTCAAGCCCCAAGTGCAGTCGCGATGAGCCTAATTTTCCTCTCCTCTAGAGATGTGCAGCAGCGGTACGCATCACTTGCAGCTGTATTAAGGCATCTGCTGGCAGAGCTGTTAGCTGAGGGTGTGGAGGGGTCTGATCCTGGACCAGGATAACTGTGGCACTCGAAGCCCTTGGCACAAGCATGGAGCATCACTCACTTGCACTGGCATAAGTTAGTGGATCACGGAATATTAGGGAAGATGTCATTCAGCCGCATTTCTCCCCCCTCTCCAGCATACTAACTGGTTCCAGGTGATTGCAGCGTAATGACTTTGTGGATTCAGAAGCCAGGCTGGAGCCTCTTGATTCCTCATTGTATTTAAACACACTCTCTTGACTGTAGCAGGTTTTTGAGGCTAAAACATTTTGAAATTAAGACTATTCGTATGAGTGAGGGCCCACAGAAGATGTAGATTTGTAGCACCTCAAGAAACCCTGAAGAAGCATCAAATGTATCCATCATAACCGAATTAACAGTGACCACAAGTCTTCCGTTGTGTAAGATCCGAGAGCAGCTTTTTTCTCCCCTCGTGACTTCACCCGCTCCTTAGCAGGACCTTTCACTTTACCTTAAAGTATTTCATCCATAATCACACAGCACCAATGTGTGAGTCCCTGAAAAAGGATCTTTTGGATTGCTGTGCGGTATTTCAATATTATCAAAAGGAGTGAAATAAAACTATTCAAAGTCTAATAAAAGTTACCGACCTACTTTACCACCAAGGGGCGGCTCAGCAGCAAGGCGTGCATGCTGTTGCGTTGGAAGGCAGCTTCTTGAGGACTTGCAGAACAGGGTGACAGTAGGATATGTTGTATGATCTAACTTTCAATGATCCTCTTATGCTTTTGGGGGAAAAAAATAGAGCTGTGCTTAAAATTGAATTGGTATAGTTTTTTGGTTTGGGGTTTTTTTTTTTTGTTGTTTTTTGGTGTTTTTTTTCCAAATATCTAGTGTATCCTTAAGAAACGTTGCTCTGTTCTACCCTGGACAAATAGAGCGTTTATGCTTTTGTTTGTGTAAATGCAAAAGCACTCGTTGAGTCTGATTGCACTGTGTTCTAGCTGTCTTTTACTAATGCATTTCGCTTTCTTGTGAGGTCCTAACTGTTTACGAAGAGTGTAGAAATTGAATTTGGCTAATGTGACCTGACACTTTTGCTACAAAACCAGGTTTTTAAGTGTATATACTTTTTCAGAAAATGTGCCAACTTTTTTTTTCTAAACATGATAATACTAATGAAAAAAATGACACCCCTTTTAAAAATTTTACTTTGAAGCTCAGTGTTTTTACTTTTAGTTCTCTACTACCTCCCTCCCTTCTCCCTCCCTTCTTTGTTCAAATGGAGAGGATATAAGGAGAATTCAGACGCTGCATGTCTTAAGCGAAAGCGTTCCCAAGGTACAGTAATTGTAGATATTTTTTTTTTGTAGTACTCCTGGCTTAGGAAGCTTTAAATTCTAGCTTGCTTATATGATTTAAATATGTTAGATTTACATGCTTCAATTTCTTCAGCTGTATTCATGCCATTTCCTTCAAAAGGGAAGGAAAAAGCATCATAAATCTTAGAAGAAAAGTAGAAGTATTGTGGATCGTAGAGAAAAGTAGATGCTAACAGTATCGTGCAGTAGTACTTATTATAATTGTTTGTGACTGATGAAAAATGTAAACATTTGCTTCTTACGTTCTTTATTGGCTTTTTCAATAAGCTAAAAGCAACTTTTTTAGAATCACAGCAGGCCTAGGATAAGTTAAATTATGTCAGAGAAGGAACGGAGGGGTTCGTACTAGATAATGTTTTGTTTGCCACTTTTTTTTTTTTTTTTTGGGTAATGCATGCTGCTTTAATTTTATGTTGTAAATTATTTTTACTGCAGCTTTTTTTTATGAGTACTGGAATGAAATGAGACTTTGGACATAATATAAAAAGGGGAAGCGGTATAGAACACGTGCTGCTGTGCTGCAGAAAACAACCTTGAACTTTGCAGCAGCTGGTGTTGTGCAAATCTGTTTCAGAAAGTGGGAGTAGAACTTAAAGGAGCCGTAAGGAGGCTCAAAAGTGCTTGTCACTGGTCTTTCTCTGCCACCATTTAAAGCCAGCAGGGATTAAACTTTTACTGATTTCAGTGACTGTGGAACTAGACTTCTGAAAGCTGCACCCTGCATTTAAAATGTAAATCCACATGGTAGGTTTAGAGTTATTCTTGTCATGCCATTTATTCTTTTCGCTCCGGTAAAGTATGATGATTTATTTTGACATGCATAAATGTTTACCTTTTGACTTTCCTTAATAATGTTTTCCTATAATTGGGTCCAAATGAAAATGCCTGAAATCGAAGTGTTTAATAATAAATTTTTTTTCCTGCCTCTTCTCACACAAGGAGCTTAAATCTGTTAAAGGTGAATAAGTGTAACTGCTGTCTTGATCAGTAACAAAGGATGTCTGCCATTTATTTTGTGATTGTAATTTTGAAATTATTTTGTAATTTTTTTTTTCCTCCAAATCAAGTTCAGTTTAGGTCACGAATGTGCTTGAATTAAAAAAATTAAAAGTAGGTGCTCATATAACAAATAGTGACAGTGATGAATTGGGAGGTGGTGAAGTTCAATAGAAAAACGACAGCAATGTGAAACAGCCCAATTTAATTAAGAGAAATAGCCTTTTTAACTACTTTACATTTGTTTTTAAATAAATAAAAAAGGTTTTAAAATCTACAGCTGTACCTCAGGTGTACATACCAGAACTTCAGCGTTGTTTAAGAACAACAGCAGCCAAATTACGCTCTCAGCTGCGTGTATGGTG